TTCCTTGTGGGAAATTAAGTTTTGCAAATAATATATAAATTCGATATGACACGAGCGAAAAAGGGTGGTTTCTTTTTGGGAAATTAATTTTTCCAAAGAATACATAGATGCAAAGTTCACGAGAGGACTTAAAAATCGCCTCGTGATCAACGTGAATAACAATAACAGGTAGATATACTTTTCGGTTCTCTTCCAACACACTTTCACAGAAACTCTACTAGCCCGTAATCAGTACCATGATTACATACTTCCTTTGACGTCGTTATTTCTCTCTATTTTTAACTAAAATTTACCCCCGCGTTCGCCCCTTAAAATCTTCCGTACCGAGTCATTCATCCTGTTCCAAATTCCCAATTAAGAAGCCCTACTTTCCTCCACGAGAAAAAATCCTCAAATACGATCGCACTGTAATTCGTTTGCGAATAGGCTACACACGCTAACACGAGAACTAGCTATTCAACGGACATCCAGTGGATCCTGTGGCAATCACAAACGAAGAGGCCTTTGCTCTGGCGAAAATCGAAACCGATGCCAGTAGGAAATCTCACAAAGGTAGTTAGTAACCCAGACAGTCAGACAGACAGATGAGAGAAAGATAGGAAGAGGAATAGAGGGTAGGAAATGTTGCATCGTTTGGATTGAACCGGATGGCTTTAGTTCCGTACAAGTAAGATCTAATGAAGCAATTCAAACTGTAACCACAGACCGCTTCAAAGTTTTGAGAAATGCCGCAGCGCGCACGGGACGGCCAGTACATTACCGGCCTGGTAATATCAGCCATACCGATGCCACAACTCGCCTATATCTCGGCGAACTATGCTTCGCCGAGGTTCGACTGTACACGCGGCGCCCAGGAACACGCTCGAAACATTAGCGTTCATCGACTCTCGGCGATAGAACCACTACCAAAGCCGGCGTAAGTATCACCCCGTTTCATAATTAGTGCTCCCCTTAGAACAATAACGTTGCTGGTTAACGAGCTCGGAATCGACGTAGCGGCTCACGACCGAGTAAATCTATCTGCGTATCACGCGCTCCAAAGTCGACCCGTTTTCTACGAATGCTTTTATAATTCGAGAAATTTCGGATTCCGTGGAGGAAAAGTATTAAAAAAATATATATATAAAAATTAGTATTTGCCATGTCAGAGCTCGAGCGGTTCTTGAGACTTAAAGTAGGGTGCGACGGACCCTAAGGATCATGATACAACGATTATTATTGGCTCGAGTAAGTGTAACAGGTGTATTTCAGAGCTCAAGTTTGGGTGGAAGGGTGTTTTTCCATAATACTGAATACTGATTACGTTAAATCGTCAAGTTGCCACCCCTATTTTCCGACATTCAAAGACAAATTGTCGCTAAGTATTTTAATAGGCGTTTCTCGTCATCGATCTTATATATTGAGAGAAAAATAAGCTCGGTAATAGAATACATCCAACTCTCAAAATTACGCTAGATTAATAGGTTAATTCGAACGAAGGTAACGGAGATATTTCACGATTCGATTTCGCGAAAAATTGCGCATTTTGCGATATTAACTGTTAAATGTCTCGCAATATTGAAATTAAAGCAGGTGCATCGCGTATGTGGAAGACATTTCTACAATATCGTAACTTCTTTTTTGCGTTTTCAAGGAAAAACAGACTGGTTACTGTTTACGTTGCTAAATATGGCTTCGGAACTCGAAGATACAACGAAGAAAAACACCTAGTACGCTTGATCGTTGCGTAGATTTTATGTATTTCAAGGAAAATAGTGTTTACAATTCAGGAAGTTTGTCCTGCAGCTCGAAGTAGAATGCAACGTACTGTATACAAGAATAACTATAGGACGATCGTCGATTTACACGAAGGCAGCAAACGTGTTTTAAGATTCAAATTTTTGCGACAGAGTTATTCTACGATAACATACGCGCGTAGTCTTCCCTACATTCTACGAATTCCAACAAATGTAGACTGGTTAGCGTTTACGGTTTCAAACGTAGCTGCGTAGGCTTGATGATGCTTCGAGTACAGTGCAGCGAACGGTGTAAAGCAACCCTTAATTCGAGCAAGGGTAGCAACAATCTTTTACGATCTTTTTTTGCGTAAAAAGTTGTTTCAAGGTAATAAATGAAATATATTAATATCAACCCCTTGCCCCATAAACATTTTTATCGTCAGTACATAAAATTACATAACAAGCATTAAAATAATCTATTTTACAAATTTATTTCATTTCAGATAATGTAAGAGAGGAAGTAGTCAATAGAATTTATATCGTTTAAATAAATAGTGTGTGTAATAATTATGAAATACAAATAATTTAAACAAAAATGTATTCCTATAGCAACTAACGTCGTTATTTTGCCTTTCATTTTAAAAACTCAATACGAAATATTATGGTACTGGAAGACATTTCTACAATATCGTAACTTCTTTTTTGCGTTTTCAAGGAAAAACAGACTGGTTACTGTTTACGTTGCTAAATATGGCTTCGGAACTCGAAGATACAACGAAGAAAAACACCTAGTACGCTTGATCGTTGCGTAGATTTTATGTATTTCAAGGAAAATAGTGTTTACAATTCAGGAAGTTTGTCCTGCAGCTCGAAGTAGAATGCAACGTACTGTATACAAGAATAACTATAGGACGATCGTCGATTTACACGAAGGCAGCAAACGTGTTTTAAGATTCAAATTTTTGCGACAGAGTTATTCTACGATAACATACGCGCGTAGTCTTCCCTACATTCTACGAATTCCAACAAATGTAGACTGGTTAGCGTTTACGGTTTCAAACGTAGCTGCGTAGGCTTGATGATGCTTCGAGTACAGTGCAGCGAACGGTGTAAAGCAACCCTTAATTCGAGCAAGGGTAGCAACAATCTTTTACGATCTTTTTTTGCGTAAAAAGTTGTTTCAAGGTAATAAATGAAATATATTAATATCAACCCCTTGCCCCATAAACATTTTTATCGTCAGTACATAAAATTACATAACAAGCATTAAAATAATCTATTTTACAAATTTATTTCATTTCAGATAATGTAAGAGAGGAAGTAGTCAATAGAATTTATATCGTTTAAATAAATAGTGTGTGTAATAATTATGAAATACAAATAATTTAAACAAAAATGTATTCCTATAGCAACTAACGTCGTTATTTTGCCTTTCATTTTAAAAACTCAATACGAAATATTATGGTACATATCTATTATATATATATATATATATATATATATATATATATATATATATATATATATATATATATATATATATATATATATATATATATATATATATATATATATATATATATATATATATATATATATATATATATATATATATATATATATATATATATATATATATATATATATATATATATATATATATATATATATATATATATATATATATATATATATATATATATATATATATATATATATATATATATATATATATATATATATATATATATATATATATATATATATATATATATATATATATATATATATATATATATATATATATATATATATATATATATATATATATATATATATATATATATATATATATATATATATATATATATATATATATATATATATATATATATATATATATATATATATATATATATATATATATATATATATATATATATATATATATATATATATATATATATTTCGATTTTATAAGTCGAGGCGAAAATTTGAAATTGAAAATTCGAGCGAAGTAAAGTTCTTATACGTACTGGTTGGGGAATAATCTATCACGAGCCTGAGCCAATGTTTTAAGACAAAAGAGGATAGAAAGGAGCGAAGGAGAATAGAAGAGTCTGTGGCTATCAATGAAATTTTGCCGAAAAGTTGTAATAGTGCCCGAGGGCTCGATTTACGTGCATTCTATGTGAATTTGGGGAGTAAACAACGATGCTTGGATCGGATCGAGTTCAAGGGCCGTCGCGAAGGTTAAAGCTATTGCACCGCTGGAATTAAGTATTCTGATTAAGAAGGCTGACGACAACAATCGCTTCTGTCGGTGAAACGAACGTAGTAATTGCGCACTACGATTATTCCCTAATAAATCGCTTCCTAAAATCCTACGTCCCTGATACTCATTCAAAAACTTGATCTTTTAAATCGTTAACTATCCAACCTATCGAACGTTTCCTCGATCCTCGAAATTATTTTGTAAATTCCTCTGTCAATCTTTTGATACGCTAATCGTCGAAAGAAATTACGAAAAATGTGACAATTTCAATTACTCGACGCTTCGAGTTGCACATTTTCCCAATTATCTCTCTCGAGAAATAAGTCGTTAATCGATATTACAACGTATACAATTATTACAATACACAAATTCCTAATTTTTATTTAAATAATTATCCTAGCGAGCGTGCCTATTTCTAAAATTTGTAAATACGTTAAGATAGTCGCGCTGCACAACTTTTTCCTACACTGTAGCCGCCGCCGTTCAGTAAACATTCTTGAGCTATTTTTCAAATTCGGGGTAGCTTTATGTACGAGTACGACGAGGTCACAGTTGTGTTCGTACCGCGACGCGCTCATACGCCTCGCGTTTCAATTTGTAAACAGAGAGATAACATTAGTTATGTAATTAGTTGTGTAAGAGACACGAAAACAACGTATACATCTATCGCCATATCCGTACATAAAGCCAATTCAAACGCAATCTACATCGAGATAAAAAAACATCAACAGTGTGTTTACGAGTAGAAGGTAAAACCGAACGACGTTTATGTATATAGGAACAAGTTGTTTAAGCTCGCGACCCTGAAAATACGTTTGACGATCATCGAGGTCGGAATAACAATCCCCAATTCTCATTCAATCGCGTAATTTAAAATATCTAAATCGAATATCTCGTTTTCCCTATAAAAAACGTGCCGACGCGTGAAATGCTTTTATACGAAAAACACTATAGATACCGTGTGTGTTTCATTCATCGGAATCGTTTAAAATGATAAATAAACTTACCTAACTGCAGTTCGTGCTTCCCACCGTCGTCCACCACACGCTCCTTTCGAATCGTACACCTCGATGTCCTAAATGTCACCACCGAATAAAACCAAAGACAACAAGTTTGCTCCAAAAGAAAAAGAAAAAGAAAATGAATAGAAATGATCGTAGCACACACAACACCTTTCGCGATGAGTATATTTTATAATAATATCGAGACGCCTCGAAATCCAAGGGTTTTCGTTCGCACCACGAGAAAATATGGTCCTGTGTAACGAGTGAACACGCGTGTATAGCCGACACGCCACGTTTACGAGAGCAACGTCGTGTACGAGAAAACTTTGTCGAGTCGCGTTTACATCTCGTCGCTAGCGCGGCTCGAAACGACGAGGATCGAATCGCGGTTCGCCGATAACTGGCGACGACGCCGGGTCGGAGAGTCGGCAGGCAACGCGACCAACCCTGTGAGTCGCGCATGCGTGTTACCCCCGACGCGCCATATCCCCACCCCTCGATGCCACAATGCTTCGGGAGAGGCAACGTTCGCGACAAAGGACGCGCAGAGTGCCTTTTCCGGCGCAGTTTTTCGAAAAGCGCCATCGGAATTTAACTGTTCGTAGTTAATTAATATCGTCCGATCGCGGATAATACTAACCACTCGCCTTACACGCCGAAGTGACAAAGAAAATTGCCGTTGCCCGGCACAATTTCTCAAAAAGCGACGCACCATTGTTGGTAGGTGGTTTTAAGTAGGAAATTTATCGTTTTTGTTCTTTGAAAGAACAGAGAAATTAGTTGTTGTAATATACGTATGAAACGCGAATAAATAAAGATGGATAGGATAGCAACATTTAATCCCTACGAAAATTCAACGTAAAGAAGTTACGTTCGTCTCTAAAGACACGATTGGTTATGTATAAAAAAGGATACAATGTAGGGATTGAAACAAGAAAAGCGTAAACCAATATCACAGCTTGAACAATGATATCTTGTTTCCTTGTCACGCTTTTTTTTTCACCTACGTTTTGCGCGATAAACGATGCATTGTTTTTGTAGAATTCCTTTTGTTCAACTCGGTAATGGAATTCGCGCAACGTGTTCTTTCAGCACGCGTATAATGTAACGAACTATTAATAACGATATAAAGCAATTATTGGTGGTTTCTCCATCGGAAGATCGCGAAGTAGTTTTAAAAATTCAGTTTAAAAAATATATTTCACGAATCAACCGACCTTTATCTTCGCTAGAGGATACATATACGGCAACAACTTTTCGAATATTCGAAAGATTCGATTTCTTAATCTGCAGGAGGAAAGTGTCGCGTTTCGAGACATTTGCGAAAAAACAACGGATAGAAAAGATAACTGGGTGTAATAGTAGCGTAACTTCAATGACATAGCGATATTTTATACGGGCCTTTTGTCATGGCGAACGAGGACTGGCATTGAAGAGTTACGGCCGCGGGATGCTCTTTTTCTAACATTTATATTGCTCCACGGTAATCGTCTTTTTAACTTTCGCGCAATGGCGGAGTTCACAAGGCAACAAGAGAGGACGCTGCAATTTCGCTGGTCGGTTTGCGAGGTTGCTGGACAGGTTTAAACGTTTCCTGATGGCTGACTATCTGGGAGCTTAGAGAGGCCACTTAAAACTCGACTAACGCGTGTCAATGACGTATCTTATTGCGCGTACGATACCATTTTTAAGCATAAAATACTCGAGTCTAGAAATTTAATTTCGAAGCGCTATAATTCCGACTTGTATCGCAACTCGGATACCTGTATAACGAATTAAATGTAAGTTCATCGGTGGCGCGACAACTACACGATAAACTATAATTTTGTAACCGTAAATGAAATCGTCGTTGTTATTATTATTATCATCATTGTCCGTACGCTTCGATAGATTTTCTAAGGTTGGAAAATCGATCGCGTTCGGTAGATTTAGTAGACGGCAGGCGTCCGACGATATTTAAGAAAGGCCCGATTCATCGGGGCACGTAGACGCGCTAAGAGGCTTCAACAGCACGCCAATTTCTCCTTAAAGGTGTCTACTGTGCATTGAGAATTCCCGATTGAGTTTGCGAACACGTTTGCACAGGCGAGCACGCCGAAAGTAAGTTTAAAGAAACGCTATCGGGGAGAACTTCCTTCGATAGTCTAGCTCTGCCGCTATAAAGTCGACCTAATAACGCTTTTTAGACACACGCATAACTCCTTACTAGAATTTTATAACATCTTTTACGAGCTACCGTGGCCGGCTGCTATTACCAACCAGACCAACCAAACTTTATTCGCGAGCATCCCAAAGTGTCGTACGAATTTTAATATCCCGACGTTTATCCTAAACGCGTTCGCGTCACTCTCATTCTTCTTACAGATTCGCTGCGCCGTGATTTGTTGTATCGTTACAAAGTTAAACTTCCGAGAAACAAAAAAAGATAGGAAAATAAAGTCGTACGCAAATTCGTACGATTACTCTACTTAGACGTTTTCGTAATTTTCCAATCGCCTACTAAATATGCGAATGAAATTGCTAATTACAAAGTCAGAGCGTATTAATATCTTTCTTCCACATTTTTCCCTATTTTCGTAGTTTTTCTTTCAAAGTTATAAATACGGTGGCGCACGCGTTTACACTAACGGTTTGTTCTGGGCCAGTTAATAATCGGGCAAAGGCTGACGAGGCACTCATTTAACCGTTCTAATTCGCGAATATTGCACATGTACAGGGAACTTTAATCGGTTCAGTGGTTCATGTAACACACCGTCGATTGTATTAGAAATTTATTGTACTAGGGATGTTTAATGCGATTCATCGGTATCAGCAAATTAGTATGGAAGCTCTGGGATATGATTAATACCTGACTCAAATTTCATGCAAGCCGCTAATACAGCCCGTGTATATTAATATCGCCCGTTCTGTGCAAAGTGTCGCAATCTGCTTTCCCCCTGGCACCATGAAAATCGTCGTAATTGTCTTTACAAGATCCTACGTGTGCAATCAGCAACAAGTTCATACAGCAACTTTCATGTAATTTCCAATTGTCCGATAAAACGAACATTTATGTCTTTTTTAATTATATTTTATATCTCACGACGCCCCGAGTCATTGCATCGCGATTTTAACTATAAAACGGTTCTTCGTCCATTATCGTAAGAACGTAATGCGTTTTTCGAAGATACGGAAACATGCATGCATGCATCGCAGCATGCAGGAATTATAACTGGACTGCGAATTTTATGCATCTATGGGAACTTTTAAGATACAAAAATACACGAGACGCACATAACGTAAAGAGAAAAACTTATAAAGAATATAGAAAGCGCGGTACTTTTTATAATATGCCATAGATTTATAAAAATATAGATTTGCGGATAAGTCGGACCGTTCTTGATCTTTCTCTGCTCTTGGAGAAGATCGTGTCTTGGTCGAAATTCAAATTACACGTATACTGATAAATCGACGCGTAGGTACGGCAGCGGGTTGCGAAATAACAAGAACGTATGCAGGCATTATCAGCGCAATTTTCCATGCTCGGTGCGTTGAAGTATCGCTTCTAGATGTCGTTAAGTCGAGTTATCTGTACACGAATAATTCCATGCCGGGGCCGCGGCACATCGGTGCACTACATTCCCCTATCTCCGTTGTGCACACTATGCCGCCACGTGTACACGACAGAATGGAAATGCTTGTGGATACACACGACCCCCCGTGTACACCCCCGTTCATAAGTATTTGGACATTTTCGAAAAATTGAGCGAGTTCGAGCGATCGATGAAAAACGATTAAGCTCGTAAAAAATTTAAGGTTCGTGATAAAAACGATCCTGGTCAAATTTTCTAACTTTTTTAGATGGTAGCGAGTTTTGACAGTCGGATGTAACGCTCGCAACATGGTCGCTTTGACATTGCGAACACGATTTTATATCCTAGTTTATGGTCAGATCGTGAATTTTTGTGGAAATTTATATTTTCCGAAACGTATTAAGAAAAGTGGAACTTTGGTGGAAAATCGTTTTACGTTACGTTACGAGCATCGTAGAAATGTATTGTTATATTACCATAAGTATCAGTAATCCGTTAATAATTTGCCCGGACTCTCGCAAAACAAAGTTTCTACCAACTTCCATCGTATACTTGGAATCGTTATTTAACGCGAGTGAAAAATCCTGATCGATCAATCGTTTACTTGATAATGTATATGGAATATCACGTTTCATACGATACGAGTAAACGTGCTAATACTTATGAACGCGTGTGTACATGTACAAGGATGCATAGAGGTTGGAGATATCTTATGCAAGCCGGCTCCTATGGCCCACCCCCTATCTGGGATCGCTACTTATGGCTAGACACGATCTCGCGACGCTTCTCCATTTTTCTCCGATAACCTCCATACCCCGTGCTCTAATAAATTCCGATTTGGGTCATCGACACATCGATGGGACACGGATGAGAACCGTTGTAAAGACAGAAAGCACGTTTTCCAGACATCAAGACAAATAGTGAAATGTGTCTCGCGGATCCTTAACATACAACGGCTACAAAATAACTTGGAATTTTTAAATAGCGCTTCCTAAGCTATCTTTTTTAATTAAACACATTAGATAGATATTTTCTAGAAACTGAAACTAGTTAGATTAGATTTTGAGAATAATACAACGAAATTTGCATTATTCCATTAAAAATCCTACAAATTGAACGTTTCCGGCGAACACTGTAACGTTGTACAGGCCAGCGTTGTACAGGCAAGATGATATCGGTGACATTAGCAAAGAGTAATATATATGGAACATTGTTTCAAAATCCCGATAAAATTCGATGAAAATTGTAAATTTTTGAAAATATACTTTTCTGCTCTCTTAAGTTTCTCCAGCTAGGAACATGTTGATGTCCTTGTTGAATTTTTATTTGAACATGGTTTTCACGTAAAACCGCACACGCTGCGCAAAAAATCGAAGGGTTGTAGACATTTCAAAGCCATCAAAGAATAATATATTTCATCGAAACTTTTATTGCCAGCGGTTATCTCCAAGTACTTGTACGTGAAATAAATTTTTCTACATTCCTAAAAAAATATGTAAATATACGTTAAAATACGAAAAATACGACATAAAACGCATTTTACATAAAGAAGACGACGTTTCTTAATGCAAGCAGGAAAGAGTTACACGAATGGTACACTGGATAGGTAACCAAGAAAACAAAAATTCACTAGCGGAAGAATTGTTCTCGCGTTGTTGATGAAGATCTGCCGAAGGAAAATCCTATTGCAATTCAAAACGAAATAGAAAAGAAACAGTCGAAGAAACAAACGGACGAAAATTTGTCCAACATGAAAGCTAATAAAATTACCCTGAAATCGCGAAGAGCACCAGGCGCGAGTCAAAGCGGCCGATTTCCATCAGGAATATATTTGTACGCAAACAAGCTATGGCG